ATTTTACAGTGCGCAAGACACCACAACAGAATGGTGTTGCGGAACGGATGAACAGGTCGTTGAATGAAAGAACCAGATGTTTATGGTTGAATGCGGGTCTTCCCAAACACTTCTGGGCCGAGGCTGTTAACATGGCGTGTTATCTTATCAACAGATCGCCAAGGGCATCATTGGCTGGGAAAGTTGCAGAAGAGGTATGAACTGGTCATGATGTTAGTTTTGATAACTTACAGATTTTTGGTTGTCCTGCTTATGTGCATGTACCTGCTGATGAGAGATCCAAACTTGATGCAAAATCGAAGGAGTGCATTTTTCTGGGTTACAAGAAAGGTGTCAAAGGATTCAAGTTCTGGGATCCAGTTGCGAAGAAAATTGTGATCAGTAGAGATGTTGTTTTTGATGAACAATCCATGTTGCAACAGAAGAAAGACACGACAGTGGTGGATTTCGAGCAGTTTCCAGTTGAGAAACCAGAAACTTCTCAATTGACTTCTGGTGGTTCCACTACGGATGATTTGCAGGATTATAGTCTCGCCAGAGATAGGGTGAGACGGACGAATATAAAGCCTCCGAGTAGATTGGGTTTTGAAGACTTGGTCTCTTTTGCACTTATTGTTAGCAGTGATGATCCGGTTAATTTTCATGATGCTATTACTAGTCAGGAAAACGACAAGTGGATGGCAGCCATGGTTGAGGAGATAGAGTCTTTGAATCACAATCGTACATGGGAGTTGGTTCGCCTTCCTAAAGGTAAAAAGCTGATTGGTTGCAAATGGGTGTATAAGAAGAAACCAGCAGTAACAGAAAAAGAGGGGGAGAAGTTCAAGTTCAAGGCTCGTTTGGTAGCAAAGGGTTTTTCACAGCAGAAAGGAGTTGATTATGATGAAATTTTTTCTCCTGTGGTCAGGCACACTTCAATCCGAGCAGTACTTACATTGGTGGCCAGTTGGGATTTACATTTAGAGCAGATGGATGTTAAAATTGCTTTTTTGCATGGTGATTTAGAGGAGCAGATCTACATGCGGCAACCTGAAGGTTTCACTCAACCTGGAAACGAGCATTTAGTTTGCAGATTGAAGAAATCTTTGTACGGGTTGAAACAGTCTCCGAGTCATTGGTATAAACGGTTTGACTCATATATGATCAAGATTGGCTACAACCGATGTGAGTATGATTGTTGTGTCTATGTTAAGAGCCTTGATGATGGTTCTTTTATTTTTCTATTACTGTATGTTGATGATATGTTGATTACTGCGAAGAACATGGATGATGTTATCGGTTTGAAAACTTTATTGAGTCAGGAATTTGATATGAAAGATTTAGGTGCTGCAAAGAAAATTCTTGGAATGAAAATTTGCAGGGACAGAGACTCAAGGAGACTGTGGCTATCTCAACGGGGTTATGTTGAAAAAATGCTAGAAAGGTTTGCAGTGAGCAGCGCAAAATCAATTAGCACTCCATTGGCGAACCACTTTAAGCTCTCATCAGAACAGTGCCCTAAGATAGATAAGGAAGCTGAAGATATGGCAAAGGTTCCGTATTCTAATGCTGTTAATGTTGTTGGCTGCTTGATGTATGCAATGGTATGTACTCGTCCTGATTTAGCTCATGTTGTTAGTCAAGTTTGTAAGTACATGTCTAAACCTGGTAAGCAACATTGGGAAGCAGTCAAGTGGATCTTTCGATACTTAAAGGGTACTGTGGGACATGGAATTGTTTTTGGTAGTCAACGAGATAATCCTTTGGTTGTAAGATATGTGGATTCAGACTATGCAGGTGACTTGGATAATAGAAGATCTACGACAGGGTATTTTTTACTCTTGGTGGAGGACCTATTTGTTGGAAGTCTACTATTCAATCTGTAGTGGCACTATCTACAACTGAAGCTGAGTACATGGCAGCGGCTGAAGCTGCAAAAGAAGCTTTATGGCTCACTGGTTTAGTGAAGGAGTTGGGTGTTCAGCAAGGTGGAGTTCAGCTGCTTTGCGACAATCAAAGTGCTATTCACTTAGCTAAGAATCAGGTATATCGTGCTAGAACTAAGCACATTGATGTACGTTTTCACAAGATCAGAGAGTTAGTTGCATCTGAAGAGATTTTGTTTCAGAATGTACACACTGATGAGAATGCCGCTGATATGTTCACCAAGCCAGTTACGATAGACAAGTCCAAGCATTGCTTGGACTTGTTGAATGTTTCAAGTTGTTAAAGAACTAAGGTAACCCAACCCACATTGAATGTTTCCTAAGGGGCAGGATATTTGCCAAGGTGGAGATTTGTAAGGTATGGTTCATAAATATACCGGTAAAGAGGACAAGGGATGGAGCGGAGTGAGCGAACATCAACTGTCCTTATAAAGAAAGTCTCGTAGAGGGGGTTACGATTATATGGGTTGAGGGTGCGGGGCTGTGCCCCCGCGGTACGGTACAGGGTTAATTTTGTAATTATGTACCAGGGTTTTCTATTATAAATAGAGATGTAGCCTAAACCTATGAGAATTGAATAAAATTTTCTAGCGCCGCCTAGGCACCGAGGACGTAAGCACATTACCGAACCTCGTTAAAATTCTTATGTTCTTTCGTTTACTTTGCCCGATTTATCAACAATACTGTTAAATTGCATATACTAAAAAGAATGTCATCCAATTTGGTATTCTTTTTGAAAAGTGGCTTGAAAAAGTATAGTAAAAAATACTTTTAAAAGAGTTTTTGAAAAGTGTAATTTAAAATTTAATTGTTTGAAATTAGTTTTGAAAGTGATTTTAAAAAAATAAAAATGTCAATTTTAGACATTTTTTCGTAAAATAAAATTAAATAATTGAGGATAAAAATATAAATTAACCTAAATTTTTTTTTTCATAACAAAAATTAAAAATTTGAATTTTTTAGATTAGTTTGAAAATTACTTTTCCGGCTACAATTTTAAATCGACTTTTAAGTGTTTGTAGGAAAATCACTTTTTCCTTGCTAAATTTTCCTTATTAATAACTTATTTTAATATCACTATTAAAGAGACGTGTTAATAAATAAGTGTGTAATGTTAATGGCATTAATGTTTTATTGTGGAACTTTTAAAATTGATAAATATATAATTTTTAAACGATGATTAAATATTTTCTCCGTACACAGTGATGATATATATATATATATATATATATTAAAGGACTTTCCTATTTTATCACATATATCTCTTTCTTTTGATTCCTGAAATTCGTAACTGATCTGTAATATAAATATTGTCGAAACGGTTTTTTTTAAGGTGGGTGAGATTTTGAAAACCGCTTCATTTTTAATTATTCTCTTTATGATTTATTTTTAATTAAAAATAATAATGAGATTTTAGAAAACCTCTTGTTTCAAAAAATTTGAAATTCCTTTTAAAGATAAAAAGTACGTATATGGTTCGAGGAGTCGCCACCAATCTTTGATTAGGGTGTGATTGGACACCCAAAAACGTTTCATCATTTTAAATAAAAAATTAATTTTAATTAAAACAACAAGTTGAGATCTGCGTTACCAAAAATTAAGTTCGGGAGTCAGTTACGCGTGGGGAATGATTAACACCCCCACAGCGCCATAAATTGGTACATAGTCAATTAATTAATGTCTTTGCAACGAAATTTACAAATTCGAATTTAACTTGGTTTATGATCCCTTAAAACAATAAAATGTGAATTTTACAACATTCAAAAGTAACGAAATAGGTTAAATAAAATTATCAAGCCATTAGAAAGATAAAGAATATTCAATTATTTAAAATATTGAGACCAGATCTTTAGGTGAGTTATAACGATCATTTCTCGAAAAATGTAAATAATCGAATATTTCCTTTTCTTTCGTTCCCAAATTTTAAAGTGATGAATCAATTTTTAGGTGTCGCTAATGGGATACACTTCTAATTTAAAATCGTTAAAAGTAGATATCTAATCAGTTAAGACAACCCACTTAAAACAATTCTAAATTAAAATGATATTACCCTTAATCAAATTATGTAATAACGTCGAGCTATGCATGTGAGACTAATATGCAAATCATACAAAAATGATGTCATGTAAAAATTAATTAAACCAATATTATGATTAAAATATCATGCAATATTATTTTAATACAAACAATTACACACATATTATATTACCACACATTATTTCCAACAAATATACATATATATATATATATATTAATATGTAATGCACCAATTTGACTAAAATACAAGTTAAAAAGTACAAACTTCAGAAAATAACCATTCTTGTTAAAATAAGGATTAAATTATATTAAACCAAACTTCACTACTTAAATACAAACAGAATAAGAATTGAAGTGTACATGCAAATATTACCATATTGAATACCAACAACTGAAATAAATTAATATTATCATTATGGACTAAAACCAGAATAAACCCAAAATCTACAAGACCAAAACATAACATACAAAAATTTGGAGCTCTAATGTCTAAATGACAAAAACAAAATAATCAGCATTTGTGATTAAATAAACATGAAATACTAAGACCAAATTAAAATACACCATATTAGAGTTAAAGGATTAAACACCAATTAACCACAATTACATCCTAAATACGTAAACCACCAACAAAAAAGAAAATAACATAAACTGATGACTGAAAAGGAAACGATGACAAATGTGAAGATCAAATTATAAAATTGGAAACTTCTATTTAGTGACAAAAAGTAAATGCACGCAACAATTGAGAACTAAATTAAAAAAAAAAGAAAAGTTTTAATATGACTGAAATATAACATGCAAAAACTTGACAACCAAATGCGCAAACGAAAGAAAATACATACACTAGCATTCAGGACTAAAATCAAACGTGCATAAAAGATGAAGTCCAAATTACGACACAAACAGGACTCGATTTCAGGACCAAAATGGAAATCAACGACAGAAGTGTAGTGACCTTAAAGAAATTATCCCTAAAAATATAATATAAAACTTACCTTAAACTAAACCTAGCCCTCATTCATCTATTCTCTTTTTCCTCACAGCCGCAATGCTCTCTTCGCTCCCTATCTTCTCTTCTTCACCTTTCTCTCCCTTGGCGACAACCCTAGACCAGATGCCATGGCCACATTCTCTAAAACTCAACAAACAGAACCCTAAGCACTAAACGAACAACCTAAGCGACCTAGAGCCTCGACCCCGAAACCCACATACAAACACTCGGTTGGCCTAAGAACGCGACCCCCGACACTCGGCCAAGGTAAGCTCTTTCTCTCTCGCCCTCTTAATACTGTATTTTGATTTTTTCACAAAAACGAAGGGAAAAGTCCTTGTACATTGCTTGGTGAAATCGACTGCTAACAAAAACTTTTATATGTATTGATTCAAAGTAAAAAAGGAAAGCAGATTTCAATCCTGATTTCTCAGAAAATTAGGGAGAGAGCCCCGAACAAAAGGTAAACTAATCTTACTCCTCTAAATTTCACATATTTTAGAATGGTGCAAGAAAATAATATGGAAATGAGTTTAGTATACCTCAAAAACTTGTTTTGATTACTTCGGTTCCCTTTTTGCTTTACACATTTACTTCATAAGAAAAGGAAGAAGATTCCTCTGTTACATTGATTGATTCGTCAGGAAGGAGGGAGAAGAAACCCCTATTACATTGCTTTCGACTCAAAATAAAATTAGGAGTCCCAAATTCTGTTTTTCGTTGTTGCTTGAATCCTCTTGTTGGAATCGTTCTCTATTTTCTGCTGACCGAACTCCCTGTTCGTCTTTTCTGTTTGCTGATTTTCCTTTCTGTTTCGATGGTTGATGGAACCCCCCTATTTTCTGATATTTCATGCCCGAGCCCCCCGTTCGTGTTCTTTGCTGCCTCTTTATGATGCATGTTGAAGTCCTTTTTTCTCTCTTCAGGAGACAAATTTCCATCTTTCACGGGATTAGGTGTTGCTGGAGAATGAAACCCGAAAATTCAAGGTTTAGGTAAGGTTCTATTGAATCTTCTTGACTTCGGTAATTTGTTGCTGGCAGGTTTGATTTTGTGTATTTGCTTGACAGATTTCAGCAAATCTGGATAGTTCGGCGGTGGCTTCACGTGGGAGTTGAAAATAGCACGAGTATGTGTTACTGTAACCGAGTCCGAGTCGAGTTGTAACTGGATCTGGATCCGGATCCGAGTCTTGGGCTTGATTTTTTTGGGCTGCTAGATTTGTCTGATGATCCTTTGTAGTTGGGCTTTGTTTGGGCTTATTGTAACCTGTTAAAAAAAGTATTAATAATATTAATAATATAATAATAATTATTATTATATCTCGGATAAAACGGGTGTCTACAAATATGTTTTCTTTTGTCAGAAAGCCCTTTGGGGTTTATTTATGAGAAAATCGCCTCAGTGACCAAAAATGCCTTATAATATACGATTTTAACCAACTTTTTTTGGATTTGCCAAAATGACCAACAAAATCGCAACGCGAAATAAAAATCGCAACGCGATCCCCAGAATCGCAAATCAGTTTCCAAAATCGCAACGCGATTCTTTAAAATCGCAATGCGATAGTACAAATTCGCATTGCGATTTTCCAGAATCGCAACGCGAATATGAAAATCGCAACGCGAACACATAAATCGCAACGCGTATCCGTAAATCGCAACGTGTATCCGTAAATCGCAACGCGTATCCGTAAATCGCAATGCGTATCCGTATATCGCAACGCGTATCCGTAAATCGCAACGATAATCCGTAAATCGCAACGAGAATCTGTAAATCGCAACGATAATCCGTAAATCGCAACGAGAATCTGTAAATCACAACACTGAAATTTTGGGTATATAACTACGAAACAGCAGCAAATCATAAACTAAATCCCTAAATCGCAACTCATTCCATCTCCATCTATCACTCTCTCCGTCTACATCCGTTCCTATATCCAACGACATCCTTCCCAATCCGGCAACAGGTTTTAGTTTCGCAGCTCGTCTGTTTAGTAAATTAATTTACAACCATGAAATCATCTAATGTTGATCATGTTTGGATAGATTTGTGTTTTGGAGGGTCATGGGATAATGTTCACGGTGTTTTACAATATATGCCTTTACCCATGAATCTTCAACTAAAATTGTCTTTACAAAAGTTAACTTATGAAACTCTAATGCTACGTGTTTCAAATAAATTGAATTTAGAGCCCCTAAGTGGATTTAGGCTATCTTATCAGAGAAATGGTAAAGTTTATTTGTTAACCGACAATGAAGATGTTGAACGATTCATTGCTTACATTAGTGTTTCACAAGATGATGTTACATTGTATGTTGTTGAACCTAGAAGTAGTATTGTTGGGTCAGTAGCGGGTAGTAATCAACTAAGTTTTTCTCAAAACCCACAACCTTTCTCTAATCCAAATCCCAATCAACTTTCAGCACCAAATTCCGGTTTTCGTATTGACCAGTTAGACGATGATGAGCCAACAGAAAAAATTGTGAGTACTAGTCAGTATTCGAAATTTGGTCTTGGTCAATATCCGGACTTTGATATTGGTCAATACACGGATTTTGATGATGTTTCAGAAGAAGAAACAGACCCTGCGTGTAATGATTTTGATATTGGTCAATACCCGAATTTGATGATGAAACAGCCGTTGCCGAAGAATGTATTGTTGATGATAATGAGGAGGAAGTTACGACTATGAATGAACATGTTGAACATCCATTCTGTAATTCATATAATCCTGAAGAAGAAAAAGAAGAAGAAAAAGTCCCCGAAGAAAAGAAAATGCCACGGGCGTATAACTGGAATATGCCAGAATTACTTCAGATACCGGAAGAAGAGTTGGTAAAGAAAGCAGTTGATTGTTACACAAAAGTTATTCGTATCAAGAAAGATGATTGTTTTGATACAAAGGAAGACTTGAAGATAGCTTTGTATACGAAATGTGTGGAAGATGGCTATCAACTAAAAGTTAACAAATCAAGCAAAGATCGTTTCGAAACAAGGTGTATGATTGACAAAAACTGTACGTGGCGTATGATTGCAAAGAGAATAAAAGATTGCGAAATGTTTCAAGTTAGGACTTTTATTGATAAACATACATGTTCAAGAACCCAAGTTTTTCCTCACCATAGACAGGCAAACAAAAAGGTGTTGGGTGATTTTCTGGCTGAGTTAATGTTTTTGAATGGCAGGGTATATCGGGGACATGAAATTATGACTGACATGAATGCTCGGTTCAAGATTAGTATATCATATTCTCAAGCTTGGAGAGCCAAATGTTATGCCTTGGAATTGTTGAGGGGGTCGCCAGAAGCATCGTTTGCCCAACTGCCGGCTTATTGTCACAATTTAAAGCTGAAAAATCCTGGGTCGGTAACTCATATCAAAACAGATAGAGATGGACGCTTTGAGTTGTTGTTTATCGCCATTGGTGCTACGGTTAGTAAATCAATATAATTTTGTTGACTCATTTTTGTTAGTTACATGCATTTCATATTTAAATGATTATATTTCTTGTGTATATTATTTTGTAGATTCGTTCGTTTATTACTTGCATGCGCCCAGTTATTATAGTTGACGGAGCACATTTGAAAGGTCGATACCTTGGAGTAAACTTATTAGCAGTAACCATGGATGCTAACAATGGGATATTGCCTATAGCTTACGGGGTTGGCAAATCTGAAACATCTGATTCATGGACATGGTTTATGGGGCATCTTAGGGATTGCATAGGTCCTATTAGCAATCTGACAATCATATCTGATAGGGCAAACTCAATTGACAATGCTGTTAGAAGGTGTTTCCCAGATGCTTTTCATGGACTTTGTGGTGTTCATTTGTATAGAAATATAAAATCAAGGTCTGCTGGTATAAAAAAGCACAAATGGACATACTGGAAGGCTGTAAAAGCTTATCGGGAAGTGGATTTCAATAAGCATATAAATTGTTTAAGACGTGTTTTGCCTCAGTGTGCTCAAACACTAGAAGATGTCGGGTTTGAAAGATGGTCAAGAGTACATCAACTTGGAGCAAGATATGGTTTCATGACGTCTAATAGTGCAGAATCAATCAACGCTCTAAGTCGTCATTCCCGGAAATTACCCATTACTATGTTAATGGAGTTTTTTCGAGCCTCTATTCAACAGTGGTACTACAAGAAAAGAAACCATGCAGGTATTATTTCTTTGAATTCGTAACTTATCATATTTATATATTTTACTAAGTATTGTTTATTTAAATTTACAGGAACATTGGAACATCGTGTTACACCATGGACTGAAAAAAAGATAACGAAACGTGTTGTGAAGTCAACGTCATGGAGAGTTGAACCATGTTCAAACACTTTGTTTCAAGTACTGGATAATAACTTAAATGGGCTAGTCGATCTAAATGCAAAGACGTGTAGTTGTATGAAATGGCAAACATCTGGTTATCCGTGTGGCCATGTTATAAAATTTGCTCTTCATTTAAACCAAGATGATTCAAGCGCATACGCTATGGATTGCTACACTACAGAAGTTTATCGACAGACTTATGCCGAGATTGTCTACCCTATTCCACATCCTTCTGAGTGGGACATACCAGATGACTTACAAACAGTTTTGCCACCAGCCATGGACAGAAGGCTACCTGGCTGACCAAAAAGTCACGATCGTATACCGTCTAAGGGTGAAGAGAAGAAGAGATCGACATGTAGTCGGTGCAAGGAAAGTGGTCATACAAGGTTGACATGTGGATCACCAGTGCCATCAAAATCATCTTTTCCTCTACCAAAATATGGATCCTCATCAAAATCCAAAGCTCATATGGTGTCAAGCAAAAGGTAATCATCTTTAAAATCCCAATCACAATTGGCTTCACCTTTTGGGACTGTTAACTTAGGTGATTTTTAAATGCAAACGTTGTATTATGTGGATTTTATGTGTGAACTTTTAACATTTTCAATTGAATTAATGACTCAGGCCAACCATTTGACTTAACCAACTCTTGTTATTCAGTTGTTATCACTTATTAGGCATGCATTTGACTATCGCAACACGGAAATTACAATCGCAACGAGAGAATCGCAATGCGAAATGAAAATCCCAACATGAAATCGCAATGCGGAAATGAAAATCGCAATGCGAAATGAAAATCGCAACGAGAGAATCGCAATGCGGAAATGAAAATCGCAATGCGAAATGAAAATCGCAACGAGAGAATCGCAATGCGAAATGAAAATCGCAATGCGAAATGAAAATCGCAACGAGAGAATCGCAATGCGGAAATGAAAATCGCAATGCGAAATGAAAATCGCATTGCGATTCTCTCGTTGCGATTTTCATTTCCGCATTGCGATTTTCATTTCGCATTGCGATTCTCTCGTTGCGATTTTCATTTCGCATTGCGATTCTCTCGTTGCGATTTTCATTTCGCATTGCGATTTTCATTTCAACATAATGCAGATTGTAATCAACAAAATCAACCATTACATTTCAATCAATTAAACAAGCACAAATAAGAATTATGTTCGCATCAATTACACAAATCAACTTTTACAAATCATCTTTTACAAATCAATTAAACAATCAAAAAATAAGCAATAATTCTTATTTCCGATCATCTACTATTGAATCAACTTTTACAAATCAATTAAACAATCAAAAAACAATCAATTAAACTATTGAATCAACTTTTGCAGCCATACATCATTTTCACGCAGTTCACTTCTGAGATTAACCTGCAGAAACCAAACATTTGCTCAAACAACACTTTCTACACATCTAAAACCTACAAACAGCAAATTATTGAATTCTAGGTACTTAACCAAACATTTTCAAACCAAAAGTCTATAAACTTACCAATTGTTTATGGACATTTTTATAACGCGGATGCAGGTAGGCAGCGTCTCGTATATATCGATTTAGCCATATAATGCTGAAACCACAAGCCTACTGCAGCTCTATCTCTATCGGTGGGAGGTAGATACTTGGTGCTTCCCGTCGTCAAACGCTCCAACGCCAAGCATACGAGAGGACCACAATCTCCTCTGGCTCCGCTCGTTTGTTGTGGCGCGGTCTCGTCTCTAATAACTGTAATGTTGAGCTTCTTTGGCTTCTTGTTTCCAGAACGAGTCCAATAATTGATCGCATCCATGAATTTAGCCAAATGAGAGCTCCATCCCTTAATAACATCTCTTAAATCAGCCAATGATATGTAATTTATCATGCTGTCATACACTATTGTCTTAAGGGATGGGAGCTGAAGCTCGACGAGAATCCAATGTTTACGTTCCAAAACAGGGATAAACACCTGCAATCATAAGTAATAATTCATTCATTTGCGCACTTATTTCATAAA